ACAGCAGAATAATAATAATAATAATAATAATAATAATAATAATAATAATAATAATAATTATTATTATTATTATTATTGCAAGAAGGGCCATGTGTGATCATGAATTGTAATCCGTAACAATCCCCCGGAGAAAACAAGAGAATTAAACAAAAACCCAACAATCAACGTAAGTTGTCATGATGACATTCCAAAAATCCTTCTGACCTGCTCTGCCATTTGGCTTACCATCTGCAACATAGCCTGGGCTGAAGAAAGCCAGCAACCAAGGGAAGAAATGGCGGCCTGCCAGCTTGTTGTTTGTTGTGGCCAGGACACTGAAATCTCATTCTCATTTTATTTTGGGCTGTTCCAGGATCCTTTGTGAAGTATTGCACTTTGTAATACATATTACAGGCAAGTCTCTGTCCTTCACAAATCTGGATAATTTGTTTTGTTTAACTTCCTGTTTGGGGAATTGAGAAAAACGAGCTTGGATGCCCACGTCCTATCACCTCCATCTTGAACATCAATGTTGTGCTGGGGATATAATTTGGTCCAGGCCTCCTAAGTGCTGGAGAAAGGTTTTGCTCAATTGCGGTGTGTACTGGTATCTTCTGTTGTTCCTACAGACTTGAGCAGGACAAAACATTCCAGAAACAAATTCCCCAAACAGTCATCAAGATCTCCTGCCCAGCTAGTAAAGAATCGGTGCCAGAAGTGGTAAGCTAAATAAAAAAAGGAGGGCACATCTGCTCAACACCCTACACTAGAAAATTATTCACTTTTGATTGCACATTAACTGAAAAGAGGAACCGGAAAGGTGGGGCAAGAGATGGCAGATTAAATTGCTAAGTGTGGAAGGTTTCTTCCCTAATCAAGAACCTTACAGTCTGTTGTTAAAGCTGCAGGATTGTGCTAGAGCAAAAGAGGCAGGAAATTCTGCTCTTGTCACTAAACAAGGGCAGAGTTCCAGGCTGTTTGCACTGAAATTTAACCCTAGCCAATCCAGAAGCTTTACCTCACTTACCATTGCAGGCAAAGAGACTATATATCTATATAGCGCCCTGATCCTGTACCTCTGAACACTCAGACTGGGAATTAGGTTACTGGTCTACACAAAGGAGAATGGCACAAAACCATATTTAAACACAACTCATCATGATCTACAAAGCCCCAGTTGTAAAATTCACTATTAACCATCACAACTGCATGCATGTTTCTGGGATCTGAGACAGTATGCCACGTGATACACCCTGGCAGTTAATCTCTTGACATATCAAGCTGTCCAATGTTGAGTTCTAGAGTTCACACATGCATTGCCATGATGTGGCTTGCTGGATTGCTGCTTGGTGTAATTTGTGAATCCAGCCTATTGTGACTTATTTCAAAAAGCATGGTTAAAACAAACTTAGTTTGGCCCTGTATTTGAGATTATTCATGGATTGCTGGATTACATGGTAACTTGTAAATTTTGTAACTTCTTCCAAAATAACAAGATCATATCGTAACATTTTGAGTCCTCTTATGTCTACAAACCATCACCAATGACTTCCTTGTTATCTTAACAAAGTTTTGGAAATCTACAGGTAGATTAAGATTGCTACCAGGCATTACAAAGAAACACCTTCCCCTCCCTCCAAATTCCAGCTGTTATCGTTTTTTTGTTTGTTTGTTTTAATCAAGAGAAAAGAAATTACAACTAATGAAAGAAGCCAACAAAATCTTTTGGCTCTTCTACCCAAGGAGAAGTTTTATCTATCTGCTAATCCATGTTCAATGGATTCATACATTTGGGTACGTTTGGGTGTCCCAAACTGTTTATAAAACAGCTTTCTACAACAAAGTTTTTGCAGCAAATCCAACAAAGGCAGAGGATTACCACATCCACTATATCTGTTAATAAACTCATTATTCAGACAAGGCAGCAATTAACAGACACATAGAGATTAACAACATCTACATACTATTCAAAAGAGACAAAAGACCAGAAGATCGCCTCACCAGCAATCATCACCCAGATAAGCAAAGGTCACCACCAGGCACACAATCAAGCAGTCAACATATGCTAATCAATGAGGTACCAGAAGAGCAAAACAAAACCCCCACCCTTACCAGCACTGGCAAGGCAGGCCACAGCAGATAAATAAAGAGCAAATCCTCATCCCATTTTAGCACTGAAGATGTTACCTAGCCGGGTAATGAAACGTTTGCAAGAAAAGAACCAAGCTCAGACAACCCCAAGGACTCCACAAACTCATTCATTCTTGTCATCCCATAACAGCTGATGCCAAAACTGAAAATTTGTCTGAAAAAAAATCTTTTTTTTCCTGTTAAATGCCAGCCACATCAGGAAACTCTATCCAGACACTGTTAGAAACTCAAATAAGACAGAGTCTCTATTAGGCAAGGGCTTTGCATAAACGATGTCCACTTGTCATAAATTATGAAGTGCATCAAGTCTTTGGTTAGAATCTCTGGTTCTTCCATGGTTGGTGCAAGCAGTTAGAAGAAATGCTAATCAAGAAAAAGCTCTGTCATTTTTTATTGTTGGGCTGAGGTCTTAGCAACTCACGTCTGATAGACTAGACATGTTTCTAGAAACTAGAGTGTTTCTCAGAGTCACCTGTGACAGGATGCTCCTTTAAGTTATACCCCTCTCTTCCACCAATAGCATATTCCCACAAGAGTTAAGGGATCCTCCTAGATCAGGATATGCAAAGATATTGCAAGCTTTACCCAATTCTGTGATTCTACAAGGATAGCAAGGTGACCTTCGGTCTCTAATATAACGCCCATACTAAATTTCAGTTTCCCCAAATTCTTTAGGGAAGCCATGATAATTAAAAATATATGTTTGCAATGTGAATAAGTGCTCAGAAGCTGGGGAAGTTAATAAGCAAGCATAATTAAACAATGGTTTCCCCACTTCTGCAACCCAAAGTTTAGCATGTTATTAAGGCTGAAAACTGATTCAACAGCTTGACATGGGCTTCTCATCATTCCCTCCTCTTCGGACAACTCCTAGTTTGGCTCACTTATCTTCTGGTGTCAAAGATGGAAAAACTGGGCGTTTCTTTTCATCTTGTCCGATTAGAGTAGGAGCCCAATTATTTCTTGTGCCTCTTCCCAAGACCTCCAACAAAAACGAAGAGGTACATACCTTCTCTCATAAAAGCCACCCAGAACCTTTTTGGGAGCTGGGCAGCCTCAAAGTCTAATAAATAAATACCCAATATCTGATTCATCTTCCTAAAGCATCAAGGCACCTATGTAATCACCAGTGCTTACTTCTGTGTTTTGAATAATTCAAAATCATTGAATCCACATCTAGAAAAACAAAAATGTAATTTCTAATGAGCATGCTAGCTCTATAATCAGCATCTTTGGATTCTTGTATTTGAAGATGCTATTATTTTCATATTCAGTTTCAAAATCTCAGTTACGATTTGTTGCCTCCAGAATCAAATTCCATCCTCTTCTCCAAACATATATTTTGAATACTGTAAGAAGTAACTGGCACCCAACAATTACTCCAATCATGAAGACGTCTTTATTATTGATTTACAGACTATCCATTAAGCATAAATACAAGAATGTTTTTATGAAACATTACTAATTTTATGGAAACTCCTGTGGCTTTTTTTAAAACGTCTTGAACATTTTCCCTAAAGAGAAATCTTCAAGATGAGCTCAAAGTTCACCTTGGTAAAAACTAGGAATAAACAAAGGATATGTTCAAAACATTTCATACTCCAAACTTGTGGGTTTCTTTGGGATTTCACATAGGTTGGAGAAATATTGCTCCCTTCCAACTAACAATTACATTTTTTTTAGATAAAATTTCAGTAGGAATGCATCTTAGTTAACTCTGTACCAAGCTCTCTAATGCTAATACCTGCTCAAACAATATTGCAAATACAGATGCTAGATCTTACTTGTGTCCCAGTTCGTGAGCAATGGTAAAGGCCAGGTTCAGTCCATTGTCTTCTGCAAGAACACACTTCCTCTTCAGGCTGCAGATCCCTCCAAGGTAGGCGATACCTGAAGAAAATAAGAAAACTTTTCATCAAGGCCAGTTAACAGTCTGTACTTTTATAATAGTACTTTGAAACAATACCCAGGGCATTCAGATCTGCTTTAGTTTAGCTTCTTTGAATGTCTCTAAATTTGTGATATCGGCTGTAGAACCCAAACAGATGGGATTACTGAGATTAGTTATTGGTATTATTAGTTTTAGTATTTTCTGTCTTTGCCTTATAGCAATCTGATTAAGTATTGTGTTTTGCTAAATTTGTTGCTATTTATATTCTCTATTTTTATCAATCTACTTACTGTAGTTTCTTAGACTCCACTTTTATGTTATTGCATTTACATAGTTTTTCATATTAATTGTAGTTTTGTTTTCACTGCTTTCTGGTTTACTGTTTTATCTAGTTATGTTTTACAGTTAAGG